CTTCAAAACTATTTTCCAGCAATGTAATGATAAAACTAGCTGAACATTTAAATGCACACCTATTCATTTGAGTGTTGAAGAAAAGATTGCCATTGTCCCTGGTTCTTTGACTGACATGCAACCCCTAAAGTGACACAACACATAGAAGCAGTTGATATATCAGCTTTACAAGATGGAGCCTTATCATGGGTCATTTCTTTTTATTCCCACCATATATTTTAAACTGAGATCAAGACTTTTGTTGGCCATATTTATATATTTTCCTAAATCCTTTAATACTCTTTATTCTTTGACAAGATAAATTATTATCCTGAAAAATGACTTCTTCATCCCAAAGCCTATTTTTTATCAGTGGAATAATAAAATTGGCCGAATGATTCAATGCACACCTGTGCATTGACTGTTGAAGAAATGATTGCCATCTTTCTTGGTCCTTTACCTGGCATGCAACCCCATCATCATAAATGATGGGGTAAATTTTCTTGTTTTCTTCAATCTTTCTTTCTTTATATTTTTATTGGGATGGCATCAATTCCATTACCATCATTTTGGCCAATACAGATTCATGATTCATTATTGAATATCACTTTCATCCAATCATCCATGTTCCAAGATTGCTTCTCTTTTACCCACTGTAACTTTGTTTCCTTTTCTTTAGGTGTTCGTGTTGGTTTCTGTTAGGCTTTCCCCCTATGTAAATCTCATTTCCCTTAGCCTATTTCTTCCAATTCTGCTGCAAATATTGATCCTTGTTTCTGCCTATTTGTTTTTAAATGGGTTTTGCTACATATTTTCCATTTTCAAAGCATATTGCTTTGGGTTTTTGATCCAAACACTTTGACATCTTCCATGATCAACTTAGTTTTCAGTTTATAACTTTGTGAATGAGACTCCAATACAGATGCTTCCCTTTAATATAATTCAAGAGGATGATAATTTAATCTTGACCTCTTAAAGTTATAGATCAATCATTGCCTATCATAATCTTCATAATCTTCATTTCTACCATCTCATCAGTCATTCATTTTATGGTATCACTGATAGGATGTTTAAGATACTTGGATGAAAGAGAATTTGTTAAGACTTGGATCTGTTGTTCTGCAGCCCATGCTAGGGCTAAAAAAAAAAAAAAAGACAACGAGGCAAATGACCTCTTTTTAACTTAGGCAGGTTGTGAAGCTATAATGAAAATTTGTTATGACATACCCCAAACAATTGGAGAATTTGATCTTTGTTGAAATTTGAGAAATTATAAAAAGAAGTTTACAACCAAGACTGAAATTTGTCATAGTGGAAAGAACCAAATTTCTGTTCATTAAACAGAAACAAGAGGAATCAATTATGCAATATCTTCACAGATTAAGAGAAGTTAGCAAATTCTGCAAATTTGAGAAACCAGGAACTCACCAAGTTGACTACTGAACACCACAATACAACCAATATTGCACATCTCTTACCATTGCTATAAACATTTTAACAGCAACTCTCTATCTGGTGAGCCTTATATAAGGTGAATGTTAGCATAAAATAAAAGAAAACCTTGAAAATTCTATGACAAGATTCATTATGATCTTGAAAAATAAATTTATTATAACTATATATTTTTCTATTAATGGAATAAAAATGTATCTAAAATTTTAATGTACACTACAATTCAAATGTTTGAGAAACCCCCAGAATCAGCATGGGATGAACATGACAGAAGAGTGAAAAAAAAATGAAAAAGAGCTCTTAGAGTCAGCGAAAAAAGTATAGAATCAGTTCTCAAAGTTATATCGAATAATTTTTTAAATTGGCCCAAAACGTAATTGTTGTGCATTTTAAATAAGAGAAAATTATTATGCATGGTTAAAAAAAGTGAGACATGATGTTATATTAGAAATTTTATTATGACAAAAGGATAAGAGCATTTTATGATTAAATTTTGCTCTCGTTAAAATATCCTCTTTTAGCTTTGAGTACTGCAGTACAAAATTTTGGCATTCATTGCAAAAGTTTGTCAAAGTATAAGTTTGATAATTGATTCCATTGTTTTTTTTTCAGTGACACTGTGAACTCTTTTTCATTTTTTTTACTCTACACTTAACTTCTTCCCATGTTAATTCTAGGGGTGGCTTCAAATTTTTTGAACTGTAGTGTATATATGCAAACTTATGCACTCATAGTCACAACTCACGCCAAGTAATTGTAAAAACTATCTTTTGTGAAAGCCAAGAAATCTTGTCAAAGAAGACAACATGATAAGGGTGATTATTTCTTTCACCATTAAAAAGTGTCTCATGTGTACACAATGATATTTTTCCAAAACACTTTTGCCCTGTGGCCTTTAAGAGCAAGCAATAAAAAGAAATCATACACCCAAAATAAGAAAAAAAATAGTCATTATTTTATTTCTCTTATTTTTCCAAATACAACTGACAAAAAAGGACCAATTTTTTAAAAAATTTAGTTTACCCAACATAAGGCCTAAGAGCTACTTAATGTAGAGATTTAGTAAGTGAGCTTGTAGTAAGAAAGTGGAAAGGAGAGTTACTAAATGTAACAAAGTGAGATTTTAGTAAGGGTGTGGTATGAAGAGTTACTAAGTGAGATTGTAATAAGGGAGTGGAAACAAGAGTAAGTAAGGGAGTGGAAAGGAGAGTTACTAAATGAGATTTTAGTAAGGGTGTGGTAAAGAGAGTTACTAAGTGAGATGGTAGTAAGGGAGTGGAAAGGAGAGTTACTAAGTGAGATTTTAGTAAGGTTGTAGTAAGGAGAGTTAATAAGTGAGATTGCAGTAAGGGAGTGGAAAGGACAGCTATTAAGTTATATTCTATGCAGTAAGAGAGTGGAAAAGAGAGTTACTAAGTGATATTGTAATAAGGGAGGGGAAAGGAGAGTTACTAAGTGATATTGTAATCAGGGTGGGGAAAGGAGAGTTACTAAAGAGAAGAGTTATTAAGGGAGATTAATGTAAGGGAGTGGATAAGAGGAAATAAGAACTGCTTATTATGATGATATGTAAGATAGATATCTTTTGACCCTAGACTTACAGGTTAACTTTGTAGTGGTCAAGGAAGTATCCACTTGGGATTCTGTTCCACTTGGCAGTTTTACAACTACCTTCAGATCAAAGATAAACTAATATTAAATAAATTGTATACATGAAATTTTATTATTATATGATTGACTATTCATATTAACAAAATCAACTTGGTTGTTTTTAAACATTAAAATATCTGGAATGTAGAATGTTGAAAATGTTGTAACTACCAAAACAGGATTGCTAGTCTGAATAGTAAAACATATAATTATTTATTATTAATTATTAAATTTCATGTTTTGGGGCAGACTTTCTAAGTAATTATCATTCATTTAATAATTAATGTTTTGAACTAGCATAGTACCCCAGTTTCTTTTTTCCACGGCTAGCATAAAATGGCTCTAATTGTAATTTGTTTTGCCATTATCAAAGCTGTAAAATAAAGAATAAACAATTCAGTAACAATTGGACAACAATTTTTATCAAATTAATGATATAAAAAGTTGCCAAAGTCATCAGTGAAAATCTGAAAAAATTTGACTCAACCTGGTACTTTCTAATATTTTAGACAAACATGGAATCTTACTATTTAAAATTTTACCCTAACAAGGTATCTTGCTTCTTAACATTTGAAAGAGCATGGTACTTTATTTCTTAAAATTTTAGACTAGCATGATACTTTATTTCTTAACTTTTTAAACTAACATGTAACTTTAGTTCTTAATATTTTGCACTAACATAGTACCTTACTTCCTTACATTTACAACAGGCAAGCTACCTTACTTCTTAACAAGTTACATTACTCCATAACATTTTGAAATAACATGGTACCTTAACATTTTCCACAAGCAAATTACCTTACTTCTTATGACCCCATGATAATGATTTATTTTAATTATTAGATAAGTGGTAACAAAAAAACACATATTTTATTTCCTGCATTTTAATAACAAACTTTTGAGCAGTCAATCTTAAAAATGGAGATTTAGGTAATCTGATGGCTTGCTGCATAGAAAATGGAATCTATATGCTATGTTTATATTACAGCTGAAATTGGTTGCACTTCAATTTAGAGGAAGCCAAGAATCTATTTACTTTGTCCCCTAACTATGGATAAAACAGCAGGGTAGACTGGGCTCTCTAGCCTTTGTTGGCAACTAATCTAAAACAAAAAAAAATCTGAATTCAAAACCAGGAACAGAATATATTCCTCCCTACCCAGGTATAGGTAAAAAAAACAGCAAAAGGTAAAGACCCATTTGCTAAAAAAGGAACAGAATGTAATCCAATGAAGTAATTGGATTCATGATCTTTAAAAAAAAAGATCTTCACATCAGGATCATAGATTCCCCTTATATAATGTTTCAATATAAATACTTAGACAGACCTTAGCTGAATTGCCAAATACAATTACAGTTAAATGGAGTGTCATTAAACTCTGAAAGCAGATTTAGGCTAATTTGGATTTACATGCTCTCATAAGATCTCTCCTTCTGCAAAATGTTCAGAGAAGCAACCAGATAACTTTCATTTAATTGTGCTCCTATTTCTACAGAAAAAGTTAAATTAGTTATCACAGAAGTATCTCACAATTATTTGTGGAGTGGACAAAAGAAACTAAGTTCTAAATAATTGCATTCTTATTTTTTTCCCAGATTTCATAAAGTATTTTCCCTTTTTAATTTCACTGTAAAAAAAGAAGATAAGAAAAGCTATTGCAGGAGCTACCTCTTTTGATGCGAGGTGTGAAAGTTTATTAGTAAGTATTTAATAGCTCCAAGAATATTTGTCTCACAAACAATATTTGGTAGACTCCTTTGAGTCTGGGCAAAAACAAAATACAAAAACATGGAATTTAAAACGAACAACAATTAATGCATTTATTAACTCAAAGCAAAATACTCAATTCACAGTCTGTAAAATAAGATCTATTTTCTTACATAGAAATGGGTGACAGATGTGGTCATCAAATGATTCTATGCTTTATTCATCAGTCCTTGAACAGCTTGCTTTTCTTTCTTGCTTTTTTATTCATGTCAATCTCCCATGCTTATTTTATTTTCAGACTTTTATTCCTATTTTCATCATCTATATTTATTACACGTGCCTTCTTTTTTTTCTTTCTGTCTGTATTTATTTTTTCTCTGTATTTCTTTCTTTTGCTTAAGTCATAGTCTTTTCTTACTTTATTTTCAAGTTTTTATATTCAGATTTCTCATAATCTCCCACCTTTGCTTCACTCACTCTTTCTTTCTTTCTTTCTTTCTTTCTTTCTTTCTTTCTTTCTTTCTTTCTTTCTTCAACTTCAGTCATCCAATCTTTTCTTACATTATTTTCAAGTCTTAATATTCATATTTTTTATCATCTCCCTCCTTTGCCTTTCTTGCTCTCTCTTTCTCTCTCTCTCTTTATTTTTTTCTTTCTCTCACTCTTTCTTTCTTTCTCTCTTTCTTTCTTTATCTCTTTCTTTTTTCTCCTTTCTTTCTCTCTCTTTATCTTTTTCTTTCTTTATCTCTTTCTTTCTTTCTCCTTTCTTTCTCTTTCTTTCTTTCTCTTTTTGTTTCTTTATCTCTTTCTTTCTCCTTTTTTCTTTCTTCTTTCTCTTTCTTTCTCTCTCTCTTTCTTTCTTTCTTTTTCTCAATCTTTCTTTCTTTCTTTCTTTCTTTCCGTATTTCATTTCAACTTATCATTCTCTTCTTATTTACCCATCTCTTTTACTTTCTTTCTCTTTTATGTCAACTTATTTCCATACCCAGTCACTATTTATTCATTTATTTATTAATTCTTCTTTTTACTTTGTCCATTTTTCATATTTTTTGCTTTATTTTATTCAACTTCTCTCTCTCTCTCTCTTTTCCTTGTTATTCTCATCGTATCATTTTCCACTTTATCTTCATTTATTTTTTGCTTCCTATTTTTCTACCATTCTGACTTTTAATTCCCAATTTACAAACCAAAAAAGAGCTACCGTAACTGATGATAGCAATGATGTTGATCACTGATCCTCATCTTTGTCTAAAACAAGAATGACTGCTGAGTAAATAGCTATATTGGGTTGTAACCACAGGTGTCATATGAGGTTGATGATCTTTACTATGCCACACCCATCTCATGGCAAGGATGTCACTGGTGAGAGAGAGAGAGAAGAAAATCTGCAGAAGCTTAGATTATTTATGGAAAATGATGGATAGTTACTCTAAAAAGAAAAAGAGAATTTGAGATAGTGAAGATAAAATATGATGGAAAAGAAAAAAAGAAACAAAGAAATGAAAAAGGAAGACTGTAATAAAGAAGGAAGGGAGAAAGAAGCAAATAAGAAAGAAAGGGAGGTAGGAAGGAAGGGACAAAGAAAGAAAGATTGGAGGAACGGATATTGAAGAAAGAAAGAAAGAAAGAAAGAAAGAAAGAAAGAAGGAAGGAAGGTACAAAGAAAGGAAGGCACATATGAATAAAGAAAAATAGATTGTAGTAAAAAAAGGGTGAAAGAAACAAACAAACAAATATGAAAGAAAAAAGGAACAAAGGAATGAAAAGGGAGGATTGTAGTAAAGAAGGAAGGAAGGAAGGAAGGAACAGATATTGAAGAAAGAAAGAAAGAAAGGGACCGATATTAAAGAAAGAAAGGAAGAACAAAAGAAAGAAAGAAAGAAAGAAAGAAAGAAAGAAAGAAAGAAAGAAAGAAAGAAAGAAAGAAAGAAATGGACAAAGAAAGAGAGGAACAGATGAATAAAAAATATTATAGTGAAAAGAAAAAGAAGGAGAAAGAATGAAACAAATATGAAGACAAGAAAGAAAGAAGGAAAAGGGAATGAAAAAGGAAGAATTTGGTAAAGAAGGACAGAAGGCAGAAAGAAACAAATAAGAAAGAAAGGGATGGAGGAAGGGACAAGGAAATAAAGATTGAAGGAATGAAGGAAGGAAGAAAGGTACAGATATTGAAAAAAGAAAGGAAGGAAGAAAGAAGAGGCAAAGAAAGGAAAGAACAAATGAATAAAGAAAGAAAGAAAGAAAGATTGTAATAAAAAAGAAAGAAAGAAAGAAAGAAAAGAAAGAAAAAAGATATACAAAAGAAATGAAGAAACAGAGAAGGGACAAAGAAAGAAATATTAAAGAAAGAAAGGAAGATTGTAGTATAAAAAGGAAGGAAGAGAGAAAAACCTTTATGAAAGAAAGAACAGTTAAAGAGACAAAAGAAGAAAAGGAAGGAAGGAATGAGAGATTGAATAAAAAAGAAAAGTTTGGAGAAACAAATGAAAAGGGGATGTAAAAGAAGAAAAGGAATAAGAAATAGGTAAATAAAAAAAGAAAGTAGTGAATAACAAGTAAATGAATGAAAAACTGAAAAAAATAATGAATGAAGAAGAACAAACTAAATGAAATAAAAAAGTAAGAATCGTATGCAATCAAAAGGAGAAAGACAAAATAGACAGAAAGTGAAAGTAAAAAGGATAAACTGACTGCAGAGAGAAAATGAGAAATTAAAAAGAGATGAAAGACCAGAAAACCCCAAAGTAATCAAGCAATAATAGAAAGAAAAGAAGAACAAGTAGATAAGAAAGGATTTAGAAAAGGAGAGCAATGATGGTCATAAATACTGTCAAAAGAAACACATGAGGCCATAACTCAAGTAACATTTCGTGTAGAGGCCCTCATAGGTGGTAACATCAAGACACACATGCAATGGAAAATATACTAAGAGGTAAAGTTCACTCAGATCAGAAAAGGAATCTACACATAACACTTTATTGCTGAATTATAGGTTGTATGCAATGTAGTCAGCTATATCTTTAACAGTAACATTATTCAACTTTATGTACACCAAAGTCTTGTCTAACCAGAAAACACTTTACAAACACTCATCAGATTCTTATTTCTTTCTTTTTTGTTTGTTCCAACCAAGCTTTCCCTGGCTGGAGTCCTGTAGAATTGTGCAATAAATACAAAACAGTATTATTGTCATTGGCACACAAATTCATACACACATAAATAGATAAACAAATGTATGTATGAAAGAATGAGTTAGATACATAGAAAGTGAATGACAAAAATAACATAGAAAGATAGATATGCACAAAGTGAGATAGATAGATAGATAATTTGCCTATCATCCAGTTTATACACCTTGCTGGTCTTTTGAACAGGAGTAGAGGTCTATCCCTTGTTCCGTGTTTAGGATTGGGTTTCTGGTTCCTTCTAAAGTCTTTTGATTCTCTTCCACTCCCATTAGCCCCTTGCATCTTAATGACATTATTGCCTTGCTTGGGGATGAATTAATTAAAAAAAAATTAGATAATCAGCAAATAGACATAGAAAGATAGATTGATTGAGTGATTTGTTTTTCATGACTTATCAATGCTATGCAGGTTATTCACTCACCCACCCCCCAAAAAAAATTTAAATTGAAATAATAACAGTTTAGTGATAGAAGTCTTACTAAACTAAATTGGAGAAGAGGTGACATCATTCCTTTTTCAAGGATATTTACACATGTGAATATAATGAACCCAACAGGAATTGGAACTCAGCTCTTCAATTAACAATTCCAAGTCATTATACATTACACCCCCCCCACATGTCCAAGCTTCCAGCATCTGGCATTCTCAAGTGGTAATTCATCTAGGTACTGTTGTTGCTTAACATTGGTGATTGCACAGTGTTTCAATGTGATGCAGTTGTAAGCCTAGAATGATAGATATGCACAAAGTGAGATAGATAGATAGATAGCTGTCTCTATTTCTGAGATTAGGAAATGTAATTGTTTACATTGTTTGGACTGTTGTCCTCATTTTTGTTGCCATATACATGACATTTGTACACTCCGGCCTTCTTCAGATGATTGGAATTTCAAACCGAACCCTTTATTTTGACCACTGAGGTAGATTGTTCTAGATCCACATGCCATGCCTCTTCTGGATATCTCAGTTTCAGTTATTTCCCTTTAACTCAATTCTCCAAGTTTTTGTTCACCTCAGCTGTGGCCAGGTGTTGAACTCACAACACTTTAGATCAAGTCACTGAATAACTTAAATGAATGCTTTTATCCACTGGACCAAGATAGATAGATAGATAGATAGATAGATAGGAAAACTGTATTTTTAGCCAATGCGTTTCATCCAATGTGAACTTTTCGAAGGTAAAAAACGAAATGAATTTATTGAAACAAAGTATCTATGAACAACAAACAAAATGTTGGTAGCAACTAGAAGAATTTAGAAATGCTATTGTATATTCATATGGTCAACTGAACAGTTACGTCAATTACTTTATGTTTGTAGAGAATATTTTTTGAAGAGAATATTTTCACATTTACAAATATTGTTTGTAATATTGTGTTGACGGATTCTTTTGAGTTCTTGCTATATTTGTTGTATACATTGCCTTGGGAGAGTATTGATTCTGTTAGGAAAAGTGATATTGGGAAAAAACATGGGCATAGATTAATATTTGGATAATATTTAATAGTGGCACTCTCAAAGATTTTGCTTCTTAGTGAATGATTTTCTTTTTTATGAGTGTAGCATTTATAAAATCAAAATTGTGGTTGAACATTGGACAAAACGCACCGGCTAAAAATACAGTTTTCTATTTACATAGATAGACAGATAGCAATTTCTAAAGAATTAATGGAATTATTTTTAATCTGACATTTTTATTACTTCAAATGTTATTTTAATTTAGTACCTGTATTTGAGGAGTCAGAGTGGAGTAATGGATAGCAGCTCAGATTGAAGAATTGGAGAGCCAAGTATGAATTCCATTTGAATCCGTTACATTCACTTACATGCTAATACCCTTGGGAGAGGTATGAATCCCCTTCATCTCCCCCCAGCTATGGGTAAATAGCAGGACAGACCGAGATCTATAGCCTTGGATTGCAACTGGTCTACTGCAGGGAAGAAAATCTGCCACATCAGTCATCTATTAAAAGATACATGATCGCCTAAGCGTGTATCACACATAGCACATAACTGGCTGACTGAGCTGTATTTGAATAGCCTTTGTTGACCATGTTTGCCGTAGTCTTTGAATATAGAATCCAGTGCAGTACGTAATGTGTTCAATGGAACAATGCCAATATTACTAATGGCAGCTGCTCAATAATTCTTCAGGTCTTTGATATCAGAGGTTGGTAGTGAAGATATTTTTGGAGAAAAAACAAAATGGCTGCCTTTATACATGTCAGATTGAATATTTTGAGCTTTCTGATTGGTTAATCCTTCTCTTGGACTATAAAATGAATCAGCTCATTTTGGTTGGCTCACGAGCACATATAAGTATCCAAAAAACTGTAACAGCCTTCTCATTTTTGAAACTGTTATTACATCTACCGGCCTGCTCACTCAATACAATTTAATAAAGCCCATTTTCACACTATTGTCTTTCTCTATAAAACATAGTAATTCACTGGTAGTAAAGAAAAGAAAAGAGTAGAGAGCCATGATCTTCTATGTCCTGAAGGAATATGGCATTTAAAAAAATGAAAGAGCTGTTGAATAATGAATATACCTTACTTATACTTAAAATGTATCACTTTGTTTCCTGAAATTTACATATATGCTAAATCCTGATAATGGTTGGCATTTCCCTTTTGAATATTATTTAGTCTTATTTTATTTTTTTAAATCTTCATTTTCTTTTCCCTTTTCATTTGATTCCCCTTTTTATTACCTTTCTCACTTTTTTCTCTTCCTTTTTTCTCTCATTTTTCTTTCTTTCTTCTTTTCACTTTTTCCTTTTCTTCTTTTTCTTCACAGTGCCACACTTTTCCTTTTTACATATTTTGTCTGTTTTAATACTTTGCTAAAATTCACTTCTCGCCTTTTTGTCACTTAAAAAACAACTCAAATATATAATATATGAGGCTGATAATAGATACTGAGAATAAACCTATAGAAAATACTATAGAAATATTTCAAAATTGACATTTTCCTTTCACTTTCCAGCTCTCTAAATACTGAGGTTATTTATGTCTTTTCACAATCATTCATGTACAACAGATAGA